GTGCTGAACTGCGATGTGCCATGCCGCGATTGTGCTCTATATAGCGTTGCGGATCGAGTCCTCTTTGCATCCGAGTCCTGACCGAACAGATCTGGATCTTAAGCTCGAGCTGCCTGAGCACATAGTAGCTGCCCCAGAACTAATCGACAGAGGGACATGCCAGGAGGACGCGCCGCAGAACGTCCCAAGGGACGCGCCAGGCGACGTGCCAGGGGACGTGCCATGGGGACGCACCGCGGGACCTGCCAAAGGGACGCGCTACGGAACGTGCCAATGGACGTGCACCGCGCGACGTGCCAGGGGGACTCGCCACGGGACGCTCCGCGGAACGTGCCAGGCAACATGCCAGGCTGCAGTGCTAAGGGTATCGATATTGATGTACCGTGCCGAGGGCTGTGCTTTGCCTGGGCGACCTGGACACGTGAAAACACGCGTTTCGCTCAAGACGTTCTCAGCACATCCTCATGCTAGACATCCGCCTGGGCAACCTGGGCACCTGCAAACAAGCGTCTCGATCGAGACTTCCTCGACACATCCTCATGCTAGACATCCGCCTGGGCGATCTGGACACGTGAAAACAGGCCTCTGGTTCGAGACATCCTCAACAAATCATCATGCTAGACATCTGTCTGGGCAACCTGGAGGCGTGAAACCAAGCGTCTCGCTCGAGACATCCTCAAGACCTGGGCATGTGAAAACAAGCATTTCACTATAACACCAAATCAAGCGTTTCGCTCGAGACATCCTCAAAAATAATTCCGCCGGCCTCCTTCAAACTCGTCATTTATCGCCAAAAAAAAATCCGCAGGTCTCCTTCAAACCGAAACCAAGGGTGAACATCAAACCCTGTGCCTCTGCCCCTTCTGGGAACAAGCGTTTCGCTCGAGACATCCTCAAAAATAATTCCGCCGGCTTCCTTCAAACTCGTCATGTATCGCAAAATAATTCAGCCGGCCTCATTCAAGTCGAAACCGGGGGTAACAATACTATGAGAGAACCCTGGGCCGGAGCCCTTTCCGGGGGACAAACAAAACATGATGGACCCACGAACCCGGAAAGGGATAAAGACATGTGCAGCATGGTCACGTTTTCACGATACCCAACTGGGCGACATCTCACGAAACATCCCACGAGACACCCCGCGAAACATCCCACGAGACACCTCACGAAACATTCCACGAGACACCCCACGAAACATTCCACGAGACACCCACGAAACATTCCACGACGACAGGCAACCACTCAACCAGACACGCCACGAAACATTCGTGCGGGGTGTGGACTGGGGTGTGGTCGTGCTGGGTGTGGGGGTGGTCGTGCTGGGGGGTGGTCGTGCTGGTGGTCGTGCTGGGGCGTGGTCGTGCTGGGGCGTGGTCGTGCTGGGGCGTGGTCGTGCTGGGGTGTGCTGGGGCGTGGTCGTGTGGTGGAGGTCGTGCTGGGGTGTGGTCGTGCTGGGGTGTGGTCTTGCTGGGGTAGGGTCGTGCTGGGGTCGGGTCGTGCTGGGGTGTGGTCGTGCTGGGGTATGGTCGTGCTGGGGTGGGTCGTGCTGGGGTGGGGTCGTGCTGGGGTCTGGTCGTGCTGGGGTGTGGTCGTGCTGGGGTATGGTCGTGCTAGGGTGGGGTCGTGCATTTCGCTCGAGACATCCTGCCAAAATTCCAGGAAATCGTACAAAAACAAAGGAATTAGTCGAGACATCATCGAAATTCCTTCGCGCGGGGCGCTTTTCCGCGTCGCGGTCGGCTCTGCAAAACAAGCGTTTCGCTCGAGACATCCTCGGCAAACTCTGCGGAGCAAGCGTTTCGCTCGAGACATCCTCAACACACGAAAAAGTGGCCCGCACCCTGTGATTTATCGATCGGGATTTCAAAAACAAGCGTTTCGCTCGAGACATCCTCAAATTTTAATTCGCCGGCCTCCTTCGACCTCGATATTTATCAGGGAAAAAATTCGCCGGCCTCCTTCAAGTTGGCACCGGGGGATTAGGTTTACCAACTAAAAGAGAACCCTGGGCTCGAGCCCTTTCCGGGAAAAAATCAAAAATCACCCCCCAAAAGAAAAAGAAACAACAAAAAAAAACACCAAAACATCGTCCCCAGACTGTTTTACCAATTTTTGAATTTTCTTCCTGTAGAGGGACAGGCCCGACTTAACGCTACAAAGCGTGGAGCCGTCATCGGACCACCTGATGGTGTTCACGCAGCCCTGGTGCCTGGGGAAGCGCAAGACACATCCCCGCTCAGTAGGAGCTCGACCACCAGAGCAGTCCACAAGAAACCCAGCCCTGAGACCCCAGGACGTCCACTGCTCTTCGGCGTGGGAGCTTCACGCTTCCCATCGCAGGACCATCGAATCCCAAGAAACCCCAAGGCATCCTGGGGGCAAGCAGTGTGTCTCTCGGCGTGGGCTTCCCCTGGACCGATGGCCCTCAGAGCGTGTCTCGGCGGCACCGCGCGCCTGTCCGCCGAGGCCCTTCGGCGCGAGGCAGGCGGCGCAACGGGGGCCGACACAGGGGCTGGGCGCTGTCGGTGGAGCTGGACGGCGCAGAAACACACACACACACACACACACACACACACGCACACACGCACGCACGCGCACACACACACAGACACACACACACACACACACGCGCGCACACACGCACACGCACACGCACACAAGAAAAACACACGTTTAAGCCGGCGGCGAAGAGGG